GACACCTCAGACGAGAAAGACTTGGTGAGGAGCGCAATTCGCCCTCGGTTGGGACCAAGTCGCAGACGATGTGTTTGCTGGAGCGCAGCTCCATCAGATCCAATGAACGGAACTTCAGGCTGAATGCGTAAATCCTCCCACTTGCATTGAGCCGGACGTGGAGGCTTTCGACCCCTTGATCCAGACAGGATCAACCCCTTTGGCCGGAGTCGTTGCAGCAGCAGCTGTGCTGGGCGCCGAGGTCGGTGCAATCGGCTGATGGGAGGTATCATCGACCTGCAGACTGTGCCAGCTGCATAGTATGTGTCAGGGAACCTGTTGGACTTGACCCTGAGTAAGAACCAGTCACGGATGTTGGCCGCAAGGACAAGGTAGGCCCTCAGCTCTCATCCACGTGTTTGTCGCTTCTCTGCGGACTCTGGCAATAAGTGGGGCATGCTGCCCTTGTCCCAGCAACTGATCATGCACATCCAACGGAGGCGGTGTGAGTAGTCCAAGTCGGTGGAAAAGATTTGCCAACAAGTAAAAGCCGCAGAGGTCACGTGGCATAGTCTGGTCGACGAAATCGATGGCCATGTTCTGGTGGTCGAAGCCAACCTGCCGCATCAGCAGCTGAATGAGAGGAACATAGATGCCCCGTTGATGGATAGGCACAGAGGCAATGAAGACTGAGCTCGATCCACAGCGGTAGCATTCGAACTGAAGCCAGTGGTTGTTGTGAATGACGTGCCAAATGATATGGTTGTACGTGCCGTGCTCCAGGAGAAGTCCATTGGGAAATTCCAAGTCACGCGTGATCAGGTTCCAGACTGCAGGTGCGCAAAAGAGAGTTGTTGGTTGAATGATCCTCGCGACATCCAAGGAGAAATCCATCTCATCTGAAGCCATCCATCCGCTGTAAGTCAACATATGCTCAAGCCTGTCTGAGATACGTTGAGTGGCGCTCTCCAGGGCCGTAGGGGGCACGGAAGGCAAAGTCGACGACAATGATGGAAGCCGCACAGGAAACGCAGCAATCAATTCCTTCTGAGGCAGTGGATTCTGCTGTGACTCCCTGCGTGCAAGGTAGATGAGGAACTTCTTTCGTAACAGAGCCGCGAGATGGATCAGCGGCGGCGGAGCATGATAGGTTCTCCAATCTTCAAGGGCACACTCCATGGTCATATTGATGATGTCGTGGAAGCGGTCAGCAACGCCATTGAGAGTCTCGGGCTGAAATTCGTCCGCAAGATCAAAGTGTTGCACCCATCGCTGAATCAATCGCCAACCACACAAGTGAGGCAGATGTGTCTCATGTTCATTGGAGGAAGTCAAACGATGTGGAGCGATGTTTAAGAGGCGAGCAACGACAAAGGTGGCAGCTGTGTGAAGATGCTGTGGAAGTTGCACAAAAGTGAGGTGGGCAGCGTCGGCGTTGCGGCGGATCTCAATGGCAGCCCATTGATCATCGATCAGGATGCAGATCACATTTGCGGTGTTGTTGAACAAGTAGAGCTCTCCAAACGGTGACAGAGTGAAGTCTGATTCAGCCTGATTCCAGTAAACTGGTGCAGTAAACTTGTAGGCATCTTGCATGAACATAATGTTCTGCGTGATGCTCCAAAGCTCATCAGTAGCAATCCACCCGTGTGTGTTGCGCATATATTCGGCCCGTTCTTGGAAGTTTGCTCTTGCACGCAGTGTTGGTGTAGCGCCCGAGGAGAGATGGTGTCCACCTGCACGAATGTCATTGCTTCGCTTGAGACTCAGGAAGGATCCTGAGCACAGTGCTCCAGTGTGCTGGGCACTTGGAATGCCATTGATTTGCTCAACTTGTACAGGATGTGGTGAAGCGAAAAAGTCGGGAGCACTTGCAACGCTGGGCCAACAATTGCATGGTGCAGCTGATCAGCTTGAGGAATGAGGACGGTGACAGCAATCTCATCTTCATTGGTTGGGGCAGCAAAGATGTGAACAACCCGAAAAGGGCCGTTGGCAGGAGCTGTAGTGTCAAAGACGGTCGTGGTGGCAATCCGTTCCTGAGGCATGATCACCTGTCTGAGACCAGCAAGGAGGGTATCGTAGTTCTCTTGGTTGCAGCGAATGGTCAAAGCTCCTGGAAGCATATGGTGGACAATATAGACCTTGAAGCCTGCAGTGCCCTTCACAAAGTCGATGGGTCGGAAGGTCTCAAGGATGTTGACAAAGGTGTCACACCGACCAAAGGCTTCCAAAGGGCCAGGTTGATAGAGGTCAACGGGTAAGTCTGCCAAATCAAGACCAGGAGCAGTGGCTGAGCATGGTTCATCCGACAGAGCCTGCTTCGGAGCCGGATGAGCAGGCTGAAGGACGGAGCCGGATGAGCAGGCTGAAGGACAAAGGTACACTTGGCGATGCACATAGACCCAAGCCAAAGGTCCCATTCATCGGCAATTGCAGAAAGCTCTCGGACGCTTAAAGTCAAGTCACATTTCCTGTGATGGGAGCTCAACTGTCGCTGAAGAAGTCCAGCGGGCCCATCGAATACGCTTGTTGTGACTTCAGCAAACGAAGTGCTCATGGTGGTGCGCATCTCGACTACATCCGCCTCATCATGGAAAGCAAAGAGAATTCGCCATTCACCTTGACATCTGGAAGGATGTCCTTAGTACGCAGGCACTGACGTGCACTGGCAAAGGGCGCGAGACGGACAAAAGGACCTTGCTCGAAAAGGAGGGCTGTCTTGGCAGTCAGCCGGTGCTCCCAGGCATCTCTCATGACCGAGACCGGATCGATGACCTCTGGCAGGGTGGCATACAGACCGACACTCAGGCGCAAGACACTGTGTGGGACCGTGATTGCATTTCCTACCACCTTGAAAGCTAACGAAAGCTTTCTCGGCAACAACAGCTCCCTGATGGTTCCAAACAGGCTGCAAAAATGAGCCGGGTCAAGGAAACAGTACGAACCGTCCTGGTGTGCGAGCACAGCGAAAATCCCCTTGGATTTGAGGTGTTCGAATGGCAACACACGCTGAGTAGAGTATGATGCGCACAAAGTAGGGAGCGGTTCTTTCGGATTAGCAAGTCTCCCATGAAGTCCGGCATCAGGTCGTGTCGAAGCCAACAGCTTGGCCCTCTTGGCAGGAGGGAGCGTTTGGGGGTCATTGTAGATCTCGGCTTCCGATCGGCTCAGGCGGACGGGTGGAAGTGATAACACTCATCATTCCATGGTACCCTGGGTGCGATCGAACAGGGAAGGCTAAAACCCAGGGGCTCAGCTGGGACGTCAGCACGGACCCAAACACACAGCCACCTCGATCGACAGTGATTGGCCAGTTCATGGTTTGGGACGCCCGAAAAAGGTGGCTACACTTTGTACAAGCTTGAAATGGCTGTGCGAAGCAAATTCATCCACACACTCTGCACATGGCACATGCCAAAATGGGCTGAAGTGTAAAAACCTGTTCAAGTCCAGCTACAAAGGCCCAACCGTTTGCGTCCATGAGGCCACGTGCCTTGCCTCCCTTCGACCACGATTGGCACGGTGGCGAAAGCGAACACAGTAGATTCACTTGGCACCTATGGACATAGGGGATGGTTGCATCGGCAACGTCTCCCAACACTGCAATCTTCCCCGCAGGATTCCAGGGTGCACCGCTCTTGAGAGGGCATCTCAACATGTCCATGCTGTTCTGCGCACAGCAGAGCTGGAGAATGGTGTCATCGTGATCTACAAAAATTTGGCGACCCATCATAAATTTGAACCCAGCGTATGGCAACCACTTAATCGCCTGGCTCCATCCACAAAAGGCACCGCAAAACAAATGGGTGCACTCCCAACCAAATGTACAGTCGAATTCAGGCCTGAAGTGAATCGAGGCAGCTGTCGCAAAGTTGTACACGAACTTCTTGGTCGGTGGGGCCAACGGTCCAGCGCAAATCAGTTGCACACCAGGGCGGATGGATATTGATCGCATGGCCAAGTCAGGCACATTGATTTCCACCACTTGTGGGATCTCATCCGAGCTGTGAAAGCCCTTGCCAGGCGAAAAAGCCAGGGGCTTGAGTTCAATCATGTTCCCATCACAACAAATGGCTTCACCCACAATGAAGGTCCGCCCCTGGACCACCAGCGGAAAGGGAGCACTTCCGAGATCCGAAAGCAGGGATTGAAACTTCAATCGCGTCGAGCCAGCAAGGGCCTCGTCAGCCAGTCGCAGAGCTTCTTCCACATCCATGGCGCAGGCTCGAAGTGCGGGGCGCAGAGGCAATCCAACACGTGTGTGCCAAGGGAGGAGGGCGCGGACCCTCCCTTATAGACACCGGTTGGCGCTCGCACGCCCCGCTGGTCCTGGGCTCCCGTTAGCTCGAGCTTTAGGGCCTTTGAACCCAGCGGCTATTGTATGTACACATATATATGTATATATATATATATATAATGTAAATTTTCAAGTGTCAGGGGAAGGTTATATTGAACACATGTATATTAATGTATGTGTATTTGCGCATGCATTAATGTAGCTCAATGTATTGTATTGTATTGTCTTGTAGTGCATTCAATGTAATGTAATGTAATGCAATGTAATGTAATGTTCAGTGTATGTATGTGTGTATGTATGTATGTATGTATGTATGTATGTATGTATGTATGTATGTATGTATGT